GCCTTTGGGTGGCGCAGCGCTCTCTTTCTTGTAACCGCGGCCTGTTTTTATCATGTCAGCGGGTGGAGATTGCTGCTGTTTTTTATATTATATGCATATAGGCCTGTTGGGAATTCAATTGCAAACACATTGATACCAAAATGAAAGACCTAGAACGAGAATTGAGTTGACAAAACTGAAAGTATGTGTAAACATTTTATCACTCTTGTGCGCTCCTGGGTAACTTTCTCTCACTTTCTCTGTTAGTTGCGGATGGTAAGCTGGGCTTTTGGAGTTTATATGCATTTAGTCCTGTAGAGAATTCTATTGCGAACATATTGATACCAAATTGAATATCTTAGGACGAGAATTGAGCTGACAAAGTTGAAAAGATTATACACTTTTCAGAATTTACCGCGCTCTCCCTCGCGCTCCCGCAGAACGCCCAAGCCCACCTGAGGTAGTGGGGAGGTCCCAGGCCCGGTGTATCAAAGTGTTAAATATTCATCTAAAATCAATTTCTGAAAATATTTTTGATGAAAGGTTCACAAAGCTGAAGCCAATAAGTTGGAGATTTGTTTAACATTTTTAAGTAATTTTTACATAATTCAAATATTTTTCAAATTATACCCACCCTTCAATGTCACACATCATATGACGTTTTGTGCAGTTTAAGGGTTAATATAGGCACTATTACTGTTTTTGATATAAGGAAACAAAAAGAGCATTACCTGAAATACATTTCAACCAGTGAGAGTGAAGATGCAAGTAGTAGCAGAGGGTGTGGTAGAAGAACTTTGAAGCCTTCAAAGCATGTACAGTTGGATGAGGCTGTGTACAAGTGGTTTGCTCAGCACCGCACAGTTGGCATGACAATTCGCAGTCCAGAAATAAGAAATGCTGCAAGCAGGTTTGCTTGCCTTGACATAAGCCTTGAAATAAAGGATTTCCAAGCGAAAAGTGGGTTGCAAGGTTCATAACGAGGCACAATATAATGAAGAGGAAAATTGTTGGTGAAAAACTGAGTGCAGATACAAGCAGTGTAGAATCATTTAAACATTAATTATGAACATATATATTGTCAAATAATTTATATTCTTATCAAATTTATAATGCTGATGAAACTTGGCTGTATTGGAGGAGTTTACCTGAAAAAACTCGTGCTATGAGGAGTGAGGGTTGTGTGCCAGGCCATAAGGTTAACGACGACAGGCTGTTGGCCCATGATGTGTGCCAATGCTGACGGCATAGACAGAATCACGTGTGCAATTGTTGGGAAATCAAAGAAACCAAGAGCCTTGCAACAGTGCTGGGACTGACTGCCTCTGAAATATTATAATTTAAAGAATGCCTGGTTTACACAGGAGATCTTTCTATGTTTCATGATGTGTTCTGCAAGGAAGTTCGTGACCATCAAGTGAAGAAACTCAAAGTGAGGCCAAGTGAAATTTGGGCTTTGCTGTTGCTTGATAATGCTCCTGCCCACCCCAGAATTGACACGTTAACCTTACATGATGGCAAGATAACGTGTATGGCACTTCCTCCTAATACAGCCCCTCTCATCCAGCCTATGGATCAGGAAGTTATCTATGCCATGTAGAGGTTGTACACCAAAAGGATGCTCAGCAAAGTTTTGGTGGATTTTGCCTCTAGAGGAAGATGTGGAACTCGGCGTGGATAACAGGGCTAAAAGAACCCTTGAGAATTTGAAGAATTATTCCATCAAGGAAGCCATCTATAACTGGGCTAAGGTGTGGAGTGAAGTAAAGGATCTGACTGAAGAATTCCTGGAAAAAACTCATCACATGTACGGTCAACAATGAGGAGGATGAAGAAATGAATTTTGAAGGATTTACAGATGAAATCCATGGAATGTTCTGAAATGCTGGCGAAAATCTAGAAAGACGATGTGGTTGATTGGCTTGAAAAAGATGCTAATGACCCAGGATATGGTGTGATGAATGAAGAAGAGATTCTCCAGTCTATTACTGGCGAGGTCAACGAAGAGGGGAGGATGGAAAAAGGCAGTGAGGAACCAACACCACAGACAACAAAATACAGTGTACTCATGTCCTATGTTGATGGATTAATTAATTTTTCATCCAACTGTGCTAATCCAGAAGTTGGAAATGTGTATCGGTACCTAAGGTGAACTAAAGAGCTGTAAAAGAGGCCAATTAACACAGAAGGCAAGCTAAACGTGCTTCTTGTTTTGTAAGAACAGCAAGGCAAGGACCTTCATCCAGTGAGGCCTCACAGGCAATCCAAGTGCCTTCAACCAGTGAGGGCTCACAGGTAATTCAAGTGCCTTCAACTAGGGGCCAGACAGCTGAGTGGAAAGCACTTCAGATTCATAGTCCATAAGTTCCAGGTTCGATGCTCGGTGGAGGCGGAAACAAATGGGAAGAGTTTCTTTCACCCTGATGCACCTGTTACCTGGCAGTAAATAGGTACCGGGGAGTTGGATAGCTGCTACGGGTTGCTAACTGGGGGGGTGTTACAAATAGGAGGCCTGGTCGGGTATCGGGCCTCGGGGCCGCTAAGCCCCGACATTATCACAAGATAACCAGTGAGGCCTCGCAGGCAAGCCAAGTGGCTTCAGCAGTTGGCAGTCAAAACTGACCTTGCCTCATGAACTGTACAGTAATTTTAACCACTGTACTGCACAGAGCGCCCTAAGGCACTCAGTTATTTTTTTAATTAGGCTATATTTTAATGTTTTTTTAAATTTTCATCACTGTTTTGAAATGAAAATGGTTGAGTTGGAAACATTTTGACAATTTTGCCTGAACATTTATAAAAACAACAAAAATATATCCTTGACAATTGCACTATGAAGTTTTTGCCAAAACCAGGTGGGCAGTGCAGTTGATAAGTGTTAATTTTAGTGTTGTGTTAGAATAAGTTACGTAAATTGTCAAGAATTCTTAACTTCAAGATGTGTAGCATCAATCAAGAAGACTAACTACAACAAGGTAAGTTGAGGTTTCTGGTTGAATATTTTATAATTATATGTGGCAATTCAAATTATGTTTGTGGTATAAAAATTGTTCAAAATGTTCACTTTTGGACTCCGTGGTGAAAAAGTACGTTAATCCGGAAAACATGCTAATCCAGCAAGGGGTCCTTCCCATATGGTCCAGATTAACGAGCTTCTACAGTACCTACGATCGCCCTGATCTACCACCTCAAGGCGCTCTGCGCAGTGCAGTGGTTAAGATCGACTTAACAAATTTCTTTTCATTATATTTCAGGGCTAATGCACTCAATAGGTTAGACAAGGTTAGATTTGGCAAAGCAGGTTGTTTACCACTACTGAAGGTGTTTTTTCCTCCAGTTTTTGTTTTTTTCATACAAATAAATATATAATATATATATATATATATATATAATATATATGTCGTACCTAGTAGCCAGAACTCACTTATTGGCCTACTATGCAAGGCACGATTTGCCTAATAAGCCAAGTTTTCCTGAATTAATATATTTTCCCTAATTTTTTTCTTATGAAATGATAAAGCTACCCATTTCATTATGTATGAGGTCAATTTTTTTTTATTGGAGTTAAAATTAACGTAGATATATGACCGAACCTAACCAACCCTACCTAACCTAACCTAACCTATCTTTATAGGTTAGGTTAGGTTAGGTAGCAGAAAAAGTTAGGTTAGGTTAGGTTAGGTAGGTTAGGTAGTCGAAAAAACATTAATTCATGAAAACTTGGCTTATTAGGCAAATATGGCCTTGCATAGTAGGCTGAGAAGTGCGTTCTGGCTACTAGGTACGACATATATATATATATATATATATATATATATATATATAAATATATATAAATATATATATATATGTCGTACCTAGTAGCCAGAACGCACTTCTCAGCCTACTATGCAAGGCCCGATTTGCCTAATAAGCCAAGTTTTCATGAATTAATTGCTTTTCGACTACCTAACCTACCTAACCTAACCTAACCTAACTTTTTCGGCTACCTAACCTAACCTAACCTATAGAGATAGGTTAGGTTAGGTTAGGTAGGGTTGGTTAGGTTCGGTCATATATCTACGTTAATTTTAACTACAATAACAAAAAATTGACCTCATACATAATGAAATGGGTAGCTTTATCATTTCATAAGAAAAAAATTAGAGAAAATATATTAATTCATGAAAACTTGGCTTATTAGGCAAATCGGGCCTTGCATTGTAGGCTGAAAAGTGAGTTCTGGCTACTAGGTACGACATATATAAATATATATATAAATATATATATAAATATATATATATATATATATATGTCGTACCTAGTAGCCAGAACGCACTTCTTTGCCTACTATGCAAGGCCCGATTTGCCTAATAAGCCAAGTTTTCATGAATTAATTGTTTTTCGACTACCTAACCTACCTAACCTAACTTAACCTAACTTTTTCCGCTACCTAACCTAACCTAACCTATAAAGATAGGTTAGGTTAGGTTAGGTAGGGTTGGTTAGGTTTGGTCATATATCTACGTTAATTTTAACTCCAATAAAACAAAATTGACCTCATACATAATGAAATGGGTAGCTTTATCATTTCATAAGAAAAAAAATAGAGAAAATATATTAATTCAGGAAAACTTGGCTTATTAGGCAAATTGGGCCTTGCATAGTAGGCTGAGAAGTACGTTCTGGCTACTAGGTACGACATATATATATATATATATATATATATATATATATATATATATATATATATATATATATAATAATAATATAATATATAACATGACTGTTTATTGAGCGTTTGGCCCTATGATGACTTGCCATTTAATGCATAATCACCATATAGTTTGGCTGTAAATACAAAAATATGGGTATCTCATCATTTACATGTATGGATAATGAAAAATCCTTCAAATATAATTATCATTTTATAGATAAATCCAACAGGATATCTTTGCTCATGTACTAGATTTACTGAACCTTAGGTTTGAAGAAAAAGCTACAGTTGTTCATAACCAAAATGTTGTAATGTTGTTTTGCAGGTACATGGTGGATGCAGCTGACCCTGAAAAGATTGAAGCATCACGGAATGAGCTACATAATCTACTAGACAAGCCCCAGTTGGCAGGCATTCCTGTCCTGGTGTTGGGGAACAAACGAGATCTACCAAATGCACTTGATGAAAAGGGCCTTATTGAGAGAATGTAAGTTTTTCCAGTCTCAAGTTGGTATATAAAATTCATATTTCATATAATCTGATGAGATACAGTTGTCATTTGCAGACTCCCCTTAGAGGGAACCTTCCAGAAAGTACCAGTTTAGCTTAGCATTATTTGAGGCATGGGTATAAGCCAGTTGGCTCTATCATGGAATGCATTCCTTAGTATAAACCTTCCTGTAAAGTTAGTATCATTGTATGTTTTTTTTTTTCTCCTACATACCTGTATTAGCTAACTTCTAATCCCCCCCTGATTTCATGGGCTACAATTTTGATCATTTAGAGCTGCTATCATTATCATAAGCTAATTTCATGACTGTATGTACACATTTTCTGTGGGGAGCCCCTACGGCTCCCTGGAGCTTATCGGGCTAATGTATGTTATATTAGACCGGGACATTAGCTAAGGAGTTCAGACCTACCAGGGACCAGTGCCAGAACCTGGCCCCTTCAGAGAGGTTTCAGGGAGCAATGGCCCTGGAAATCCCCCTTGTAGTTGGGGTTTTCCTTATCTGCCATCAACCGGGAATAGGCACCCAGAAAGGTAGGCATAACAAAACAAAAACCCCACATGGTAAAAAACTAAAACAAAAAACCGAACAGAGAGGTAGAAGCTCCCTACAATCCCAAGGAAACAAGCAAACATCACATTTACTGCCATGCCGATCGTCTGCGCAGCCCTCCCCGCCCTGAGAGGGGGAGGGGGGAGCCCCGGACCTATTGCACCGGCTGCCTAGCATCAGTTCGTAAGCTAATGTCAACCGGGATAGACGCTTCTCTGGCTTCAGTTTCCAAGGCGGTGTTTGCCTTGTGTGGCGTTCACTGCCGTGTGTTGTGTTGTGCGGTGGCCAGGAGTACCTCATCAGTGCCGGGGCTGCATGCGCTTAGGGGCTTCCTTCCCTAAGCGCCCTGTGAGTACTGCCCCTGCATGACAGGGTTATCTTCCCTGGGGCACTCGGGAACCATTCCCGAAAGTATGGATGTCACTCTGGAGGGTTCGAGTCGCTCGCAGATCGACAATCCGGCTCCATTATTACTGCTCCCTGGTGGTTCCTTGCCTGAACCGAGGGGGTTCAATACGGTCTTTAGCTCTTTGGGGCTGGTCGCTTCAGGTGACTCGTCTGCTGAGTTCTCGGGGTTTGTCTCCTGGCAGTTCACATCCAGGGGGTGTCCAACGTCCTGGCGGACAGCCTGTATCGTTTCCTTCCCTTTTCCGTGGAATGGACGGTCGACGCCGACTCCTTTCGTTGGCTGTGCCAGACGTTTGGGACTCCAGATGTGAATCTCTTAGCGTCGGCATGGTCGAAGCTTCTCCCAGTATACATGGCGCCCTTCCCCGACTGCAAGGCTGTCGGGGTTAATGCCTTTATGCTGGACTGTGCGAGGTGGGGTTACATGTACCTCTTTTTCCCGGTTCAGCTGTTGCTCCAGGTCCTGGCTCACTTGGAGACTTACCAGGGAAGAGTTGTCCTTCTGGCTCCTTGGTGGCCGCCCCAGCGCATGAGTTTATCCTCATACAAGTGAGGATAAACTTGAGTTTATCCTCACTTGTATGGTGCAGGTGGCTTCATTGTTGGTCTCCCACCTGCGTATTTCGTCTTGGCGACGGTTTGAAGTTTCCTGTCGGTCCTTCCGGTTCTTCCTTTCACTGTGTATGTATTCTTCAATCTCTGATAGGGTTGTGCTGTCCTTTCTCTCTTGGTTGTTTCAGGGCCGTCGGCTCATGACCAATACTGTGGCCTCATATCGTGCGGCGCTGCAGCTTGCTTTCGGTGTTGATGTTACTTCTGCCCCATTCCGCATGCTTTCTCAGGCGTTGTTTCACCTCTGGCCTACTCATGCGCCTCCTGAGCCGTCCTGGACTTTGGACCGGGTGCTCCCGTTTCCTCCTCCTTCTCGGTTTGTTGTGGCCCCCTCCGTTTGGGATTGCTTTTCTAAAGCTCTTTTTCCTGTTAGCCTCTGGGGGTCGTGTAGGGGAGCTTCATGCTCTCCTCAGGCGCAGGGGTTTCTGCTCTTTTGGTCCTGGTGGTTGTTTTGTTCGGTTGCAGCTGTCTCCTTCTTTTCTGGCGAAGAATGAGACGGCTGCATTTTGGAGGGGGCCTTGGGTTGTTGATGCTTGGTTGGTGAGGCCGGGGGTGCATCATGTGTTGTATTACTTTTGCTGTATGCAATGTGAGCAAGTCCCTCAAATGGATTCTCCGCCTTGTAAATAGCCGTCAATAAATTTGATAAACCAATTACTGTACTGCACCACTAGGTAGAGATCAGACACGACCTATATCTGGCAAGATCTCCTCAAGATCTTGTGCCTGTTACTTTAGGCATTTTACCTTATTGATAGCTGTTGTGAGCAGTTGGCATTTCTGCCCAGCTCAACTGCATCTCAGTGGTTCAAGTTTAAAGTAATCTCGGACACTTGTTATTGTATCATTAGTTCACTTGTATAATACTTTCTCTCCCTTTCATTTTTGAAAGGTGGAAAAGGTTTTTTCTAGTGGAAAAGGTTTTTTCTAGTGGAAAAAATTAATTTGGCCAGTAATGATTATTAAATTTGTAGCTTCTTGCAACATTAAACTAATAATCATCATTATTTCAGTGTAATGGTCAATTACACTGAAGTGCACAACAATTAAAAAATTGCTGTGCAATTCAAAAAGACAAAAAATGGCACAGCAATTTCTGTCCTTACTGTCTTGTACAAATGTTTATTTGTATGTTTTAATTGTTAAATGAACTGTTAGTAAATTATAAAAAACTGTTTTTTTTTTTCAGGAACCTATCAGCCATCCAGGATAGGGAAATTTGCTGCTATTCTATATCCTGCAAGGAGAAGGATAATATTGACATAACACTTCAATGGCTCATTTCTCACTCCAAGTCTGGTGGCCGCTAAGCCACGGACTTCATGTTGTCTGTGGCCAAAGGTGGTAGAGTTAAAGAAGTGTCCAGAGATTTTATGGAGTTGTTAAAGAAAGCATTTGCTAATATAAGACTGAGGGGATGGGATGGGACAGAAATCTTAATGGACTTGTGAATTGTAGAAGGGAATATAGGCTAGGGGTAATTTGTTTAACTTGAGAGATTTAACTGTAGGAATTGTTAATTGATGATTAATAGGGGTTTTAATTATACATGTAGCAATTAAATGAAACTGAACAAAAGTGTAGTCATGACATATTCCAATGAGTCATATTTCAATGCAAAATTTTGTAATTGTTCTGTGCAGTAATCAGTTACTTTTATTCCAATTTGGAAACATGTGTAGCACTGTAATCCAAAAATCCCACACTTAAAGTGAAGCCCATGGGTAGCACACGTTTTTTGAATAGAGTACTGTATAATTCACTTGAGCAAATTTCAGCCTCATTAATTTTATGTATTTTTGTTTATATAATGACATGCTCTTAGTACTTGTATATATAATATATGAATCTATTAGTTCCCCCTTACCTAATAAGAGCTAAAGTTTAAGACTAAGAGCTAAAACAGTGGCAATCTTTTCTCATTTACGCTTAATGTTCCATGAAGTGAAGCCAAAATATTTTTCTTCGTGATTTGTAAATGTAGCTTTGAAAACCTTCATGATGGATCTTTTGACCAGGATGGTAGCTAATACTGTACCAGTTTGTTTCAATGCTCATCACTTTTATAATTGTCCATTATAGCATTAAGATTTTTTCTAGGTTTTGTATTTCTACTTGTGTGTGTTTAAAGCTAAAGGGAGAATTTATAGCAGTTTTATTTGTAATAAAGGTATTGCAAGTAAGTTATTTAATATTTTAACAATTTTGTAGACAAAATCCTAAACATGAATTATATATCATTAAATTTCTTTAAAACATTGAAAATTTGCAACTGTATCAGGATTTTTTTTTTATCACAAGGTTTTTTCTCAAACTAATCCAGTAAAAAAAAAAATGTAATATTTACTGAATTGTTAAACCATTCCTCTTCATTTTGCTACATGAAGGGCCCTGAAGGTGCATTCATACTGGTTAGTCCTTTTTCTGATGTGTGAATGGTAGCTACGTTTGGGTGTGTTTGACGTGTGTGGATGTGTCCAGTGGTAGGACTGTGACTGCTGTAGACTGGCACAGTGTTGATATAGTGAAGTAGATCACATATGTTTAGGCATTACCCTACTTCAAAGCACTAAAAGGCATAATTTGTCATCATGTATATACTAATGTATGGTAATTGATTCAATGTTTTGCACACAGCTTTTAATGCAAACCAGAAACATTTGGTATCAGGAGTGGGATGGCTCTCTGGTTGAGCTTAGATAGTTGCTTTGCACTTTATGAAATGGTAAGAATTTTCACATCAAGCTTTTGTTTTGATATAATTAAAGTTTCTTGATTACTAATTTTGACCATTTCACAAAGTAACTGTTAAAACGTACTGGATAATGTAGTGTCAGTTGATTAGAAGCCCCTTGTAAGATTGCTAATATTTACCATTATCTTTGGTCAGTCATATCTAATTTAAGTCTAACATCTAAGTTCTCTGTGGTGCATTATATCAAAGCTTAATATTTTTAGCACTTCTCTGCTGCAGTGTTTTATTACAAAATTTATTGAGATAAAAAGTAACCTTCAACTACACATCTAAGATCAATAATTTTGGAACTGTTAATCTTGTGTGCTTGAACATATTTGCACTTGAAATCTTTTCCTTATAAACTTTAACCACATAATAAATCAACATATATTTTTTAAGAACTGTTTTTCATAGTTCTCAATAACACGTACAATTCAGGAATTGATATAAGTGGAAGATTTGATTGCTTTTGCATGCAAGTACACTTGTGTATGTGCACACTTG